GCTATGGATCTTATGAAATCCGACTGTGGATCCTATGAAATTTCATTTGGCACCTAATATAGACGCGGATTAAATGTACTGGATATCCTGAGGAGACGGTAATGCGTCTTGGAAGAAATAATGGATTTTTTTTAGTCGACACAGTTGGTAACTTTTAAACTTCTACAGTTGCGCAGTTCAAATTCACTAGGCGCCGAGTTCGAGCATTCCAGGTTTAGTTAGTAATAAAAAGTAAGAAATATTTTAATGTTGGAGGGCGAGAAAGCAAATAATATTAAGAAATTAATAAAATTTTGCGAAATATTGTAAAATAAAAAATTGAAATTAATAAAATTAAAAAGAAATTAATAAAGTTTGCAAAATATTGTAAAATAAAAAACTGGAATTAATAAAATTAAAAAAAAATTAATAAAATTTGCAAAATATTGTAAAATATATTATAATTGCTAAGAAATGTTTCGGTATTAACGGCGACTTTTAAATTTGAGTTTAAATAGTTGAACGTTTAAAGCGTTTGCGAATATCTTCATTATTGTTGTTTCACATGACATTCAAGTGAAATCCTTCTATTCTTCTATTTCTTTTTCAGCCAGGTAATAATTTCACAGTATCCTTTTGATTTCAGGCATCGGCATCATCAGCAGCAGCAGCAGCAACAACAGTTCCATCAATCGGATGAAAAGCAACGTAACTTGACAGGCGCTGCTCCATCACCGGCCACTTGGTCTGCTCTGTCGGACAGTCTGGATTCGCAACCAAACAGAATAATAAATCAATTTTCGGAGGTTAAAATTTTCTTGCCCGTCCGTGTTCTGAGTTTTCATGAAGTGTGGTCTATGTAAAGTAATGTAATGTAATGGTTTACTCCTCATGCGAGGCTATAAACCTCCTTCCGCGCAGTTAATATGAAAATTTTAATGAAAATTTAAGAAGGTATATTAAAAAGCGGATGAAAAGAGATGAACAGAAAGGGGAAGGTAAGAGATGAGAATTACAAAAATTTTTTAAATTAGTAAAATTATTTTAATGCTAACAAATGTTTCGGTCCATTAAGTCGCCGTATACATTTCTTACCGTTACCATCACCACTGGACCTCGTCAGTACGTCGACTGTGTGTTAATTAGAATACGATTGTGATCACTGCATACTTTGTGGTGGCTTCTTTGCCGGCTTTTCGCGGGTTTTTTCGCCAAATTTTTTTTCGATTGGCTCTAAACCGGACGATTATCAATGCTTTTTGGTGTTTCGAAGGCAGCATTGAGCGTTTTTTTTTTCTTTTTTTGAACTTCCAATTTTCATAAATAATAAAAAGCTATATTAATAGGAAGATATATTAAAAACGGATGAAAAGCGATGAACAGAAAAGGGGAAAGTAAGAGATGAGAATTACAAAAATTTCTTTAATTCCAAAAATTTCTTAATTTAAGAAATTAATAAAATTATTTTAATGCTAAGAAATGTTTCGGTCCATTAAGTCGTCGTATACATTTCTTACCGTTACCACCACTATTGCACCTCGTCAGTACGTCGATTGTGATAATTGGAATATGATTGTGCTAAATCAAAAGTGATCGCTTTTGCAGGGGTATGCGCCACTAAAACTAACCGGACTTTTTTTTTGCTCTAACGATTAACCCCGCAATGAGCAGAACCTTGTCACGATATGGCACGAATCGATTTGAAAGGTTTTGGTGCTTGTTTGTCAACAAAATCCAACGACAACAATGACGACGATCTCGCTGATTTCGGCTTTGATACCCTACCGGATTATGATGATGTAAGTGTTGTTTCGGCCTACTTCTCCTAGGACCTTGATATTTTTGCCGTACATTTTGCTGACGCCAAGATTTCTGGCTGAAACACAGGGAAGCTGTTTTCCACTTACACCACTTAATATTTCCTCTTCACATGACACACTGTTTTTTGGTACATGTTCAACACCACTATCTTCTTCATCTTATTTGTGCGTTTTGTGCTGTGTAATAGCGTTTCAAAACGCGTATTGTCACGGGGTTGTCTGTGCGTGCGTGTGTTTGTGTGTGTGTGTGTATGTCCCACATTTTGTCCCGCACTTTCAACTTGGGAACCACAAAAGCTAGGCGGCTGAAATTTTGTTATAGTGTTCCTCGCCAACGGGTGACGCGGCAAATTTAAATTCAGCCTTCCCTTACCCGCGGGTAACACGTACGGCTCCGTGAAAGTTTTCCACGGGTAAGTTAATATCTCGGGAACCACAGAGTCTAGGAGGCTGAAATTTTAGGATAATGACCTCCTGCCACGCTCAACCTTGCCCATTCAAATTCAGTCTTCCCTTACCCGCAGGTAACACGTACGGCCCGTGAAAGTTTTTCACGGGTAAGTTAATATCTCGGGGACCACGGAGTCTAGGAGGCTGAAATTTTAGGGTAGTGACCCCCTGCCCACGATCAACCTTGCCTATCCAAGTTCAACGTTCCCGCGCTGTCGGGTATCACCTACGGGCTAGCGAAAGTTTTTACGGGTAGATGATTATCTCGGGAACCAGGGGGTCAAGGAAGCTGAAATTTTAGGGTAATGACCCCACTGTCCACGCTCAACCTTGCCTGTTCAAATTCAGCGTTCCCTCGCTGTTGAGTATCACCTACGGCC